GAGGTGGTATTATCTCCCGTCAGGCCATGGCGGACTGCTGGAGAATCTCTTCGACAGGATCTCTTGATCTGCACGTGTCGGTGGAGGAAGGGGCTGGCGCGACAGCCCAATCGATGTACCGAGGGGCCTTGTGGTCTTAGCACCATCTTTGCTATGGTCGCTGGCAGACTGCCGGAGAATCTCTTCGACAGGATCTCTTAATCTGCTCGTGTCTCTTCGACAGGATCTCTTAATCTGTGCGTGTCGGCGGAGGACGGGGCTGGAGCGACAGTCGAATCGGCGGTCAATGTACTGAGGGGCCTTGCGGTCTTCGTACCGTCTTACCATGGTCGCTTTGACCAGTGCCACGTGGCAGTTCTGCAGAGCTCGGAATGCTTGTAAGCAGAGTCTGACACTGAAACCACCAGTACTTGGCCCGGCTATCGGCCGCGACGCTTTCCCGTTAACGCGCCCCAAAGTGCCGCGCCGCTTTCCCGTTAACGCGCCCCAAAGTGCCGCGCCTTTACGGCTTCAGGGTACTGGACCACAATGGCTGGAAGCACCCGCCAAGAACAATTCAAAACGCTTCGGCGAAAATTGCCATGTCGCGCAGGGGCATTCCAGGCTCGGCACCCATAGCTGGGCCAAGTACTGGTGGTTGAAGTTATCATACTGTGGGCGACACTGTGCAATTCCTGCAGTCCTTGTGCCAGCTCGTGTGTTGTAGTAGATTGTCACTACCTTCTTCCGCCGAATACAACGTACGGTCATTATAGGTGTATTTATTTAGACTGAAAGATAGCCCAAATACAGCTATAATGACCGTACATTGTTTTCAGGGGAAGACGGTAGTACAACCGCCCCTGTTCCACCCAGATCAGAAAACCCAAAATCGAAGCAGCTTAGAAGCACACAGCACCTTCATGCCCCCGAATACAACTTACACTCATTATGGCTCTGTATTTGGTGCATCTTTCCATCTAAATACAGCAATAATTACCGTACGTTGTATTCTGGAGAAGAAGGTTGCCATGATGAAACAGCTTTGCCTCTTTAGCAAGCAAGATGAAGCACAATAGATCCGTTAATAAATAACTTTTATATATATATATATATATACATATATCGTCAAATAGAACTGCCCGGTAAACCGTAGGCAGAGAGGGAGAAGAGGACATATATATATCCCTTTCTGGACCATCTCTGCACTCAAACCACCAGGCCCGAGGTCCCAGTAGCAAAGAGGATCGGATCGAATGCCTGAATCTGGATGTGTTTTATGCAGAGATGCAGAAAAGCAGTTCAATCTCGATTTCCTGCACCTCTACAAACACGTCCAGATGCAGGCATTGGATCCGATCCTCTTTGCTACTGGGACCACGCCCCAGTACTTCCTAGAGTTGTGCCCGTTAACGCGCCACGATTTTAACGGGCACGATTTCAGGAAACGTACGGGCTCCTGCAGGGCCGTGGTCCCACTAGCAACGAGCATCGGATTGAATGCCTGAATCTGGACGTGTTTTGAGGACAGGAACAGGAAATCCAGATCGAACGGCTTTTCTGCATCTCTGCATAGAACATAGCCAGATTCGGAATTTCTATCCTATACCCTTTGCTAGTGGGACCACGGCAGAACGAATAGGTGCTAAAATTTCAGAAATAGTAAGAGCAAGAATAGGTACAATACCTGCTATAACCACAAAAAACCGGCGCAGGAGAGCCCAAATTCATCCGACTAGGTAGTAACGTTTCTATTTTATTTTCTTTCCACGACCGACAGCTGGGCCAAGTACTGGGCCGTGGTCCCACTAGCGAAGGGGATAGGATAGAAATCCTGAATATGGCTATGTTTTATGCAGAGATGCAGAAAACCAGTTCTATCTCGATTTCCTGCTCCTGTCCTCAAACACGTCCAGATTCAGGCATTCAATCCTATGCCCTTTGCTAATGGGACCACAGCCCTGGTGGTTTAAACACACATTCAGATTCATCCGCTGAACCCAATCCCCTCTTGCTACCGGTAGTGGGACCTCGACCCAGGAAGAACAACAAGATGGAGCGCCCTGTCACGGATCCTTTTTCGTCGTAATCACAAACTCAGGCCTTCCCCCTTCTCTACCCCCTTCGCTCCCCTCCATCAAAACGTTTTGTTTTGTTCTTTTCCCCCCTCCATACATCAAAATCTTTACGGGGAAAAAAAAAAAAAAAAAAAAAATCTTTACGCGCATGACAACATTCAAAACCCCCCAAAAAAAAATTAAAAA